TAGGTTCTAGGACCTTTCAGACCTTGTCTTTCTTATATTTTTATAGAGTGCATCGTATAATTCATATCAAATGATTTCCTTTGTTTTTGTTTCTAGTTATATCTTGTTAAGTAGAGAGATATTTGGTTAAATTGTCGAAACTTAATTTTATCTAGAGGGTTAAAAAGCTAATAAACTTTCATTTAGATCCGTGTGCAATATAGTCTTTTTTTTTTCTTTAATTATTTTTGTAGCATTGCCCTTTTGCCTAAATGTTATTTTTACTTAATATTATCGTTTGTGTTTAATCTAATTAGTTTTTAAAAGAAAATTTTGTTATGACTGTAATACTTTGTTCAGCTGTAATGAAATTGTCTGCTTTTTATATTTATATTACTATAATTGTTATGTGTGTTGATTCTGATTTTGTTAGCATTGCCCCTCCCTCTTACTGCTTGTGTTCCGCCACTGATTGGAACAATATGGTCTTTTAGTTGTCTAACTTTTTAGGAAATAGTATGTTCGAGGAATTGTACTTTCGTCTTTTGATATACAAACAAAAACATTAATATCGTTTGGATTTTGTAGTTGTAGAACCTAATGCTAAATATCTATGTGTAATTGGTCTTTATCTACTTAACCTAATGCAAAATATCTGTGTAATTGGTCTTTATCTAGTTCTTGCTAGTTTGTTTCTAATAAAAGTTAAATTGTTTAATAAAATTGAACCTTTGATCAATTGGTTTATATTATTTGCATTTAACCCTTCAACATTAGGTATTTGTTTTAGGCTATATATTTTTAAAAAGTTATAACATTTGATTCAATTCTGCAAATATTAAACAAGTGGATTTAATTAAATAGTTGTAAAAATACATTGACATTCTAGTTATGTATCTCAAAATTAATAACATCATTATTACGTATACTTAAAGAACTAAAAATGTATAGTTTACACTTTATACCTAGAAGTCCGGAAACGAGAAGAATTTTAAGTTTTAACATTTTGTACCGAGATTGCATTAGTATGTTTGCTTGTAGATTAAGATTGGAGTTGGCTTGACAACTTGGCACTAAATATTATGTTGCGATTAAGATTTGAAGTATTAATTTGATGAAATTTATTTGTATCGGAGTTTTTAACTTTTCAAGATATTACATTCTCATAACTTAGGTAAAAATTTTTGAAGCAAAATAAATTTCAATGATAAATATATAACTATTTAATTATTTTTTGAATCAATTTGTTTGTATTAGAATACTATTGTTATTGTTATAACTTCTTTGAAAAAAATGGTAAACCGTATCATCTGAACGGTTTATCTCAACCTTTCCCAAAGCCTACATGGTAAGTCGGTCATACAAAACACTAATAATATTTTTTTGGTGAGTCAGAGTTTAAATCATAGAACTTCTGCATGGAATTCTATTTTTCAACCACTAAGCTCTTATTGGCTTTTATTGGAGGGATTATATGTCTTTGGAAATCACATCTAAACAACCTTTTAGGTTTTGAATTCTAAAACAAAAATCAATATTCCAATTGTTTTGGAAAATAGTACATCTCTTCTAACATTTAGTTGTGGTGATAACAATATGTATGTTTTTTTATTAAATATTCCTTTGATAATTAAAAAAACATATTTTTCTATATATAGAAAACTTCAACAATAAAAATATTTATAGCACCAAAAAACTTATTTGCTTATGATACTTTTATCAAAGTAAAGATGGTAAAAAGGGGTCCCAATATAAAATTATAGAACTTGACTGTTCCACGTCCCTCCTAGGTTGTACAGGAAAACGCAATGATGACAGAAACACGTTTTTTATAAAGTCAGAATCTTATTTGACAAGAAAGTGATGATTTTTTACACGACATTAAATTTTTCGAAATTGTGTTTTTTTTTTTTCTTAAAAAGAAAAGAATTCTATTTAGATATAGAAAAACTTATATTGTATCTCAAATTCTCAATATCAAAATAAAGATTGAAGAAGTAAATATACACTCCATATAAATGAGAAATCTTAAAAGGGTATTTTCAACCAACACTATGATTGATGTTTAATTATTTTAGTTTAATAATGGTGTATACCTACTCCAACTCAAATACCATTCTTACACCATATTTGGTGTTATTATGGATGACGTTTTCAACAGTTTTGTGTCTGTCAAATACCACTGCTAACTTTAACAATATTAATTGTCACGGCAAATCGGCAAATAATGTAAGTACTTTCGTTTTGCCGTCCACACAAAAAAAATAGAAATAAATATATGAATTGTTGTTTTTGGAGCACTATGTAATGATTTGAGATGAGAGGAGTCAGACTACTTGTAGGACTATTTTAATTTGTTATTTTAGTTAAGTAGTGATGACCCAATAGCCATAATTGAAAGTATTGGTAAGACATTAAATGGTGATGAGAAAAGTATTAAACATAATTCCGATTTTTTCAACACACTTTTTAAGAGTTATTTACTATATATAAAACAAAATGTAAAGGAGAAAATGATAATGGTGATGCAAGGTCGGTTTATGTATCATACTCGGTTGGTGTGTCTCTAACAACAATTGTCAAAATAATTTAAAAATCACATTGGTCGTTTTTCTAAATTTACAACTAAAAACAATCAATACAATCAACATATTTAGATGAGCTATCCCTTTTGTACCGGTACAATCTGTATGAAAAAAAATTCAGCAAAATCCCTATCTGTTAGACTTATTAACAATAAAACTATGGCTTTATTTTTTGAACAGAAAATTTAAAAAAAAAAAAATCAGTAATTGTTCAAATCAAGTGACAAGAAAACGACAATATTTTACATGTTTAGATTTTAGTTTACATCTTTAGATTTAGTCAATAATCTTGGTTTGTTAACCGGTAATTGTTAGAAAAACCCATATATTATGGGTTCATTAATGACAAAGTCATGACATTTTTAACAAAAAAAATAATAATAAATAATTTTATCGTACAACGATCTTATTGTATTCTTTTTATTTGACAGAGTGTTATCTTATTGTTAGGGGTGTAAACGAGCCGAGCCGAGCCCGAGCCTAACCAAGCTCGAGCTCGGCTCGTTTAATTTTGAAGAA